TTTTTTCCGTAACATTAACGCAAAGCTTTAGAATTCTCAGGTTTGAAATACCAATAAAGGTAATTAAGAGCTTACAGATAGACCAACTGGCTCTATAATGATTCCAAGCAGCAAATCAATTTCTTATCAATAGCAATAAATAGTTTTATTTTCTGGAAGCAACATAAAGTCTTTAACCATATAAAAACCCTTTCTTTTTATTTTCTAAAACAAATTACCAAAGATTGGTGTAGAAATTTAACAAAACATACCTTTAATCTGGATCTTTACTGTGTTCAAGAGATTCCATGGAGCACTTATTATTTGCCTACACTGTCCTAACCATCTTAATTACATAACTAGACCAAATCCTCACACCAACCTTCTAGATAAATACTGTTACCCATATTTTATGCATAAGCAAGAGAGATTAAATAAAGTATCTAATGCCACATATTAAATTAACATCAGGATTTGATCCACCTGGACTATGAGATCCAAATCTCCACCACCACCACCACCCCCGCATCCCCCAGGCCTTTGCATTGAGCTACCTCCTCAGCCCTCTTTACTGTTGTTTATTTGTTTTTGTTTCTGAGACAGTATGGTTACGTCATGAAACGGTCTATCTTTTCCTCCCAGATGCTGTGGACACCGCCAAGCACGACCATATGGCACTGATGCCCATGCTACATAGCTGCTTTCCATGTAAGATACCAGAAAAACCCTTACCAGGGTCACAAACACACAGAATGCTGGCAGTGGAGCCAAAGAAAAACCATGTACCTAACTCTGAGAAATGAGGGAAAGAACAGAATGTAAAGATTTGGATTTCTTCGTCTGAGAAGTATGTGTACATTCCTGATGCCCATTTTTGGATTGGGTCTTTAAATTTTAGGGGGCTTGATTCTTTTTAATTCTTATATGCTCTAGATATAAAAAGGTCTGAGGAACAGCTGGTAAAAATTTTCCCAATTAGTGTGTTTTCTTTTTACTCTTTTTATGAGCAAAAACTTTTTAAAAAGACGAAATCTCAGTTGTTGATTTTTTTGAGGTATTTACTGTGCAGTTTGGTTTATTGAAAGGACAGTTAATGTGTAATTGATCATTTTTGCACATCCATATCTAGTAATTTGAATAACTTCTTTGAAGATAACAATATGAAATACAATAATCATTGTTAATTTCCTATCATCTCATCTTGTTTTGAAATTCTGTACCGTTTTTAATTTTCTTAAATTTTCCTTCTAGTGTATCATAAATACTGAATAAGGTAACATATTTCAAATATTGGGTTTTTGCATTTAAACACAGACCAAACAGGATAATTGGTAGACATTTTTACACTTGTACCAGTGAGCCTGCAAAGCTCATGAATAACTTTTAGGATGAAAAATTTAAATTGACTTTGAGTAACTTACTGCAGTGCACATTTTGTAACCAACACCAAAATCAAAACGGCATTGCTCATCCATAGAGTAATTTATTCCTGGAAGTTCTGGGAGCTTGGGCCAATCATGTTCAAAAGGGTCATCAAGCAGACAATCATAGGAACTGCAGGAAAGAGAAGATTACTTGTAATTAAATGTTCATTTTTAAAAACTGTGTCTTAATAATAAAGAACACTTAGCTTATATACTCTAGAATATTAGCAAATCATACAGCAAGTTCACAAAAGGGAAGAAAGGGAAAAGGGACAGAAAAAAAATAATTGAAGAGGAAAAAAACTGAAAATAGAGCTTTAGGAAGTAAGAAGAGGACCAGAATTAAGAGTGGAGAGGGAGGGCAGAGGTGGGGACCAAAAACAGGGAAAGAGAATTGGGATGTATGAACTCCCTGTGGAGTTCCATACATAAATGGAAGCGTTGTATACTTACTACAAGCATCTACTAATGAAAAAGAAGTTAGTGTATTTTAAGGGGGATTAATCACAATGTGTCTTTATTGAAGTAAACTTTTAAAATTAAGACCAAAAAATACGTTTCAAGTTTTTTGGTTTTAGTTCAATTTAGAAAGCCTTTCCATCCTTGTTCATTCCAAAACGTAAGCTAAGCAGAACACAAGAAATAGCTTGCTCATTTCACTAAGGGGACCCTCACATGATGCAGAAGGACAGATACTAACACCTCTGGGACAGGATAGAGAGGCCAGTGCTTAGGCCTAAGAGCTCCCTTGCCACCCCCTTCTCCAAGCCATTATCCATCATATCCCTCATAGAACTGGGCTCAAGTTCTAGGTGATGGCTTAAAATACTGTGGTTACATGATAGAATTATAGCAACCAAACCATGGAACCCTACGAAAATGTTTATTATCAACAACAGCTTTCACTGACTGGGAAATCTGTGATGACCCAAGTGAGTTCTAGGGTCAATTTTCTATCTGGGGCACTCACAGAGGCCCATGGCATGCAGCAGGCACGTACTGGATGTATCGCCTCAGTTCCTGACCACTGCAGCGGGACCAGTGGTAGCGGTGGAAGGCTGCCTGCACCAAAGGTGCCATGACGCTGCCCATCGCAGTCTCATCGCCACACCGGTTACCTTGCCCATCGTGCTCCATCCCCAGCCTGGAACACAAAGCAAGATCTCACAGCTCCGAATTGTAGTCTCTGCTACCTTTCTCTCTTGACAGGAAGTATTAGAAAGGGTATAATTTTTAGTCAGCGTAGCTCTCTTAGAACAGCTCCACAGACTAAAGGAGAGAGCAATCTGACAGCAATGTCTCTCTTATTCTTGATTTCTGCAAGCATGAGACTACAGAACAGTCACCCATTGACTTTCAGTGTGTGACTTCCTCACTGTGGTCCACTCTTCACACTTGGCAAGGGATGAGAACTGGATGCTGGCATGTGCTCTGCCCAAAGTGTGAACAACACTGGGTGAGGTGGAGAAAGGACCTTTTATTTCCTCTATAGCTGTCAACAGTGACTTACACATGGCCAGTTTCATGGGCTACTACAAAAGCAGATGAAAACCCATCCTCATGATTCAGGGTACAACTCCTCACTGGATGACACATGCCTGTGACTGGAGCATATCCTGTAGAGAATAACAATTACTTTATTTTCATTCTATGAGAAAATCTATTAAGAATTACTTCTGGATCTTAGCCTAGTGTAAAATTAAAGGAAGCCTTTTTGCAAACAAGGTTAACATTACTTCCCTGATAGCTTCATGCAGTATTCTCTTGGGAAAGCCACAGGTAATCATCTCTAATAAGACTCACTGAGTTTGCATTTTCTCCTTTCCAGAATGAAGGAACTTCCTAGGGCTACCATTCTATTCTGCTCAACAGCTAAACCCTGCCTTTCTTTCCTAGTAAATGGGCCTTGATATTTTGGTACTGGTGAAAGGAGCCAAAAATCCCATCCAAGTTGAAAAGGAAATCATGTCTGCTTTTTCCAATGTCCACGTCAGAATTTATTAGATAAATGTAAGCTGACTTTGGAAGAAAACTGTTTGGCAGCAGTCTTTCCTCATGGCATCTTTTATCTCCTTCCAGCCAGTGGAAATCACAGGCCATTTTTATAAGCATCCCCTTTGGACCCCAAATGTACAACCACTGTTTTAAAGGCCAGTATAATTCATTATAGTATTAAGCAGCATTTATCATTGTGAATTCCACAGAAGTCACTGAAAACAACAAAAGAAAATGTATGCTTGGCTCAGCAAGGGGGGAAAGTGGCGGTAGAGATCTAAATACTTGAACAGACTGTTTGAGCTTGGACTGCTTCTGAATAGCCATGCCCGTTAAGTGTTCCTTCTACATATTAATGCCAATACCTTGCATTCCAGCAGGTCCAAAATCTTGTCTGGTTAAGAAAATTGCATGATCATGGTGCTCAGAGTGGTTGGGATCAGATTTTTGTTGCTGGCAAGCCCAGCGACACACATTCTCCAAGCTCCTGGATGGGTTTCCCCTTTCTATGAGGCTGATGGACTAAAAGAAGAAATAGGTTAAAGAAACACCAACATTTCTCAAAGGTTTCCTTTAAACTATTTTGTGAAGCAGAAATTTTGGTCATAATATGTTCAATATATGATTTAATAATATTTATTATTTACTGTGGTTTAGGAATTTGAAACGTCCGTGAATATATGTGCATGATATTCAATACTTCTTTTAAGAGGATTAATGGGTACAACTGGATTAATGGGTAAGTCTCATGCCAACATTTGCCATTTTGAGGCAATACATCAATAATCATTTGGATAAGAATTTTAGAAGTGTAATGAAGTCGATAAGAACAAAAGCAGAAGGAAAGATTCTTTGGACTTTTCTCTAGAGATATGAAAGTAAAAGATCTTTGTTAAGAGTTTTGTGAGGTTTTTTGTTTTGTACAGAAATACTCAGCATGTGGAAAGAATAGAAATTTCTTCCAGTAACTGGCAAGGCTAGTCAAATTTTAGTTTATGAGGAACAGTCAGATTATATTAACCTTACACTGAAAAAGAAAATAAAAGTTTTTCAACTTCATGATAAGGAAGAGGGACTCATCTTGTAGTTCCAATAAACAGAGTTAAGTTCCTGGGAATGTTGCCATGTTATAGTCTAGAGTTCAGAGTTCAGGGATAGATTCTGACAGAATGAGAACTGAATTTGGAACCCAAAAAGAGTCCCAACTTGGCTGACAGAATGAGAATTTTGTAAAGTTTCAGCAAATATTATCATTGGTGTTTACACTCTTAATAAATTGGATTGGTTTCTTCTATGCTGGTCACATATTTCTCCAAACAAGTGATTTAACAACCTTCAGAACGCTGTAAACATTACCAGCTGGAAGTGACATCTATCCCTTGCTGGCCACTCTAAAGAGGTGGGGTTTATGGGAGAAACTAAAGATGAAGGGATTCCTATCATTAAACAAAGATAACTAGACATTAAATATATAATTAAACATATGAATATGGTTTTGTACTGTTTTCTAAAAGTGCAAATTCTCTAGCATTTTATAATCAAAAAGGATTGTTTCTGGCAGAATGACATGCAATTTAAACATGAAGCAAAGTGTAAAGTTAGTCTCTTCGTCTACATTTGTTCTCAAAGGGTAACATTTTTATGCACTTCATTATTTCTAAGAATAAGGACACAATCTCTATCACATTAAAATTGGTTAAAGTCTATTATATTACATGAAATTCTTAATGTGTGTGAATTCTGAGAACCAAGCTTTTGCATTAAAAAAATTACTGAAATTCTTGTTTTCATTTATCTTTATTTTTTAAAACTTCGTTACAGGGTCTGATTGTGCAGTTCAGACTCATAGTTATCTTCCTGTCTCAGCCTCCCCAGCAGTGAAAATACAGGTGTGTGCCACCACACCAGGTTGCTGTGACCAGCATGGCAAGCCCGGGCTTCTGGGGCCACCATGGCATGCAGTACCAGAGACCAAACTTGGGTACTTGCACTTGCCAGGCAGGCACTTAGCCCAATCAGCTGTCTCCCAAGCCCCTGCTGAAATTCTTTTAAATGAAAAATATTATTTCATTTTAAAGTTTACTTTTTTTATTAGTACATACTGACAGTACCTACCACTCACATGCCTTGTGGGGAGGAGGTATCTGCACACAACGTATCTTGATGGTTGTTCTCTACCCTCTCCCCCTCCCCTTCCCTCCATCTCTTGATTTTTCCTATTTGCTAATTCTCTATCTTGCTACTTACTATTATCTTGCATTTTGCTCTTTATTTATACTTTATGTTTCTCACATAAGAGAAATCATATGATATGTAAGCTCATGTGTCTGATTCATCTCATTAAACATTATGTTCTGAAGAATCCAACAAATGATGTTTTCAGTTTTAAATATGAAAATATATAAGCAAAACAGTCCTTTTCAAAAAATCAAAAGAAGGCAAAGATCTCATCTGTTTCTTCAATAACACATTCCAAGTACTTACGAAGAGTATATCACATAACGGGCACTCAGTGTAGACATGTTGAATGAAAATATGTATCACAAACATAATTGTGACCTAAAAAGAACCTCATCCTCCCTCAGGGTTGCTGTACTGGGGCTTGCCCTGAGCCTCTTGTACTGAACTACTTCTCTGGCTCCCTTAAAATCTTTTTTCTTTTTCCCCTAAAAAAGGTTCTTGTCAATCACAAAGTTATGCTGAACTTGAACACCCAATCTTTCTACCTAAGCCTCTCAGAGGTTGTTGCCTCTCTTAATGGTATATATTCATTTTTCATTCATGCAACTGTATCTATAATAAAGGTAACTATCTAGAGAGAAGTAAATGGTAGTATTATAAAAATAATTTATTATCCACTAAAATTTGGTGATGTCTACTCACTGTAGCAGTTTCTCTTTTCAACTCAAAGCCACCAGGGCTCTGCATGACACACAGGGCAGCTACTTCTTCTCTGATTTAGTATTTTACTGCTAACCCAGGCCCTACTTGCATTATCCCCATATTTTAAGGCATTTTACCTTTGCATAACCCAGCATGATCATGCGTACCAGGACCACATTTATATGTACTCCAAGGGACTCATCATGGTAAATTTCATTCACCTAGAAACAAAGGAGATAACTGCTGAAACAAAGGCTTCATGATATGTACAGCACTGAGGTCCACCATGGAAACTGCCACTAGGTATTTAAGTCAAATTACTGTTTTTGTTTTTTAGATTTAGTTTAAGATGAATGTGAAATGAAGTAATTTTAGTTTTGGGACAATCCTTAAACACATAATTTACTGATTTTATAAGTTACACATAGAAGGTGTGTTTTGATGGGGCTTCATTACACCACTGTAGTAGTACTACAAAGGGTCAGCACATGTGTGATATGACACGTGTGTGACATTCTCCCACATGATGAGGACAATTTTCAGTGACTTATGCCAGACTAGAGCCACCTGGGGCAGCAGGCACGGCCTCAAGGTGTCTGTGTGGTGACAGGAACTGTGCTGGGAAGGAGCCAGGCCACGAGGGTCTGTGTGAGGGGTGGTAGTGATTTCCTGCTTCCCCCTCACAGAACTGGAGCAGACAGCAGGAACTGTTTAGAAGTACAACAGGATAGATTCCCTGCAGCATGGAGTTATTAAGGAGATGGTACAAGTGTCTCTCAGGTGTGCTGGGACACAATTTGGAAACACTAAGTTGAGATGCTGCTCATTACTAAAGCTCCTAAAGGTGATCTGGTTTCCTCTAATATTACCATTAATGGAATCAAAGCAAATGGTCTGCAATTGTATCTTCTGAATAAGCTAATCATAAATGAGTATATATTTAAAATGCTTTGGGCTGGGCAAATAGCTCAGCAGATTAAAGCACCTGCAAGTAGGCACAGGGTCCAGGGATTCAATCCCCAGGCCTGCCGTTCTGGCACCACCCCTGGGGCACACTGAGACAGCTACTGAGACTGGGCGTGGTAGCGCGAGCCTGTAATCCCAGCTATTGGGAACTTGTAAACAGGCGGATCACTACTAATCTGATCTAGTAGTGAAAACTGAACGCCCTGTAGATCCTTCACTAAAATACAAAGATAAATGAATAAACAAAATGCTCAATTTGGCAAATGACAGCAAAAATCAGAAAGGCAAGGTTACCCAGCTCACTTACAAAGTTCTTAACCGTTACTGAAAACAAGGTTTCAACACTTATCACAATTCTCCATAAAAGTAACTGAAAACTAACTTCTATATCTACAGAAGATAGGGAAAATGTAAACCTGAAGAGAAAAGACAAACATAATCCCACAAGGGAGAAGCTTGAAAATGATATAATACTCTGAAAATAAGACATCCACTATTCAGGTAATTTTGACTCTGACATACTGTGCAAGAAATCGACTATAAAATCTCAGCAAACTCTCAAGAATCTTGTGCAGCAGCACAGAATATCTGCAGATGGAAGGCATACTCAGCACAGAAAAAAATAACGAAGATGAAAGTAAGCAAGAAGATACCAAAAATGACAATATACCTTAACAATAAAAGTGTGAAGTCTTTTCACGGAGAAATACATATCTACAATCACTATATTTATAAATACACACATGTACAAATGTGCACATGTGAGCACACAGATATAAGATTCAATTTAATATCTGTAGGAGATCAGCCAAGATGTAATCCCAGAGCTCGGGAGGCTGAGGCAGGAGGATCATTGCAAATTTGAAACCAGTCTAGCCTGCAAAGTGAGCTCAAGGTTTGCTTAAACTTCATAGGGAGACCCTGTCTCAAAAGAGACCAAAAAACAAAGTGAAAAAACCTGCAGTGTGCTCCTGCACTTGTGCTGAGCTGCACTGACTCTAAGGTAGAGCACACCTCAACTACCAAAAATCACTTTTTCTGTGCTGTTTTAAAAGAGAGGTGATCAGAAAACATGATGGTACTGAGGAAAGAGCAGAGAGCTAGAGCCAGGAAATGTGTCACAAGAAGAGTGGTTGGGGGCGCAGTGATGAGCACCCAGATAGCAGGTAGGAAGAGCTCCAGGCACCGTGAAACCCTCACAGTGGTTGAGCTCTCCATGTCTCTGAGCTGTGATCAAATGCACATGAGCAATGCTATTTCAGAGGGCAGGCAGGAGAATCAAGAACTTATGCAAACATCTGCCTAGAAACTTTACGATCAAGAGGAGAGGGTTTAAAGGGCATTAGTGTACAGGAAGTAGAAAAATTCAGAAAGAAGACATTTAATAACTATGATATAGGAGAGGTTAGATTTATGCTGTATACTCATAGAAAATAAATCTTAAAACCATTCATATTATCAAACAGGTAAATTTCAGTTTACTATAAAAACACTGAATGTTACATGAAGAGCTGTAATCTTTCTGGCTGTCAAATTACAAGTAGTATATTTAAAAATAATTTTATTTTGAAGAGTAAAAACAAGAGCAAGAAAAACACAAAGACATAAAAAGGGTAACATACAACATTACATATTTTACAGATTTTCAGAACAAGAATATTTGATTAACAATGATTGATACATTAACTACTTTCGTCTTCAAATCTGTTGCTCAGATTAACAGATACAGTTATGCAAGATGGGACATATGATTGAATATTACCACGTGCTTTCAAGAAATCTTACATTTTTGTTCTTGTTTCTCATTGTCTTTTATTACCTTTTAAAAATTTACTTTAAAGAGAATATAGTGATATTTAATGACATTAAAAATGGTACACATTTAAAAGACCAAGATGATAGGTGTTTGCAAGTGGTTTTTTAAATACACAGCAGAAAGTACTCTTTCAGTTTGGTGAATCAACAATAAAGGAGGTCTATAATCTGCAAATCTTTGGATCTCACTATTTCATTTTCCAAGGCTTACAAAAGTTGGTTCCTATGTATTACTCAATCTTAAAATGCACTGAGGCACTTGGCTGCCTGTATCTAGTATGCTCTCAGCACTGTGGGTGACACAGTTTGACACTGACACATACAGTCTGTGCTAAGAATTGAAGGTAACACATCAAGGTAGGATCAGACATCTAAAGATTTGGTTTCCTTTTCATCTCTGTCACTGACTTCTGTTTGTGGCTAAAAGCTAGGCATGATTACTCTGCCTACATTAGTAAGCAGGAGTTCATACAACCACAGTTAACAGATGCAGTATTAGCACCCATGTGCCCACTCAAGAAAATAATTTCCCCTGCATAATTTGCACTGAGGGGGAATTTAAAATATTTTTATTTCAATTTTCAAAATCTCAATCAAATGAATAATAATCAAAAAAGTATTACTGAAATAATGAGCAAATTACTGGAAAACATCATTTAACAGTTCATTTTTAAGGCTAAAGGGTGCAGAAAAACTCCTTCCAACAGATGGCAGTATGCATACTGTGGACAGCAAAGGATAAGCTACTTAACTCATCTCTGAGTACACACACATACACCAGCTGATGTCTTTTTTCATGTTTATAAACAAATAATGGCTTTCTTAGAATTAACAATTATAAGTATCTAAGGAAAAGGTTATTTTGAATGCCTAATCATTTAATTCTCAAAAGCAAAGAAAATCATTGGAAAACATTTATGTAGAATTTTTTGTCATTTGATTATATATATATATATATATATATATATT